AGAACTCCAATCAAGTTCTGGGAATGGATCACTATCACACATATCATACTGTAAGATACCCTTTGATAAGGATGAACTTTCGTAGTTATCATATGGACCATGCTCACGTGCTAGGTTGCATGATTCATCTAATGCAGCATAGTACATATTTGCAAATATTTTCTTGTTGAGTTCACGTGCTTTTTCATCTTTCCATGAGTACCTGAGTTTTTTATACAATGTTGCCAATCCAATGACACCCACTGCAATAGGTCGATCACCCTTATTCACTATTTCACACTCTGACAATAGGTAAGATGTTAGATCGATTGATCGGTCACATGAGTTTACAAGAAGTCTAACAGAATGTTGTAATTTGGTGAAATCGAATTCATTTTCTGACGAAATATGGTTAGGTAAAATGATAGCACGAAGGTTACAAACGGATATACTTTCTGTATGTTTGACAATCTCTGTGCATAGGTTTGGTATCATGATTGGTCCAATGTTGCTTTGGTTAGATTTTTTATTAGTATTATCAATAAAGAACAAAAACGGTTCACCAGTATTACATTGCATTTTGATTATATCAAAAAATAACTTCTGTGCTTTGATCGTTTTCTTGCGTTTTAACTCTACCTCATAACGAATATATGCATCATTGAATTCCTGACCATATTATCCGTTTAGGTCATATTCTAGTGATATCTTTGCATCCATGGGTGAAAAGATAGTCCAATAATCATCATCTTGAATGCGTACTATAAATATATCTGGAATGACAATACAGTGATTTAGATCTGTTGTACGTAACTGTGGTACCTGTGACTCATGGCGGATTCATAAAAACTCCTCTACATCACGGTGCCAAATTGCTAGGTTTACCATAATCGCTCCCTTGCGTTTGTTACCTCCCTGGTCAATGTACTTGGCCGTTTCATTATAAACACGAAGCATTCTATATATACCGGAAGAATATCTACTAGATCCTTTAATATAATCACCATTTGCACAGATGTCACTAACATCGATTCCAATTCCACCACAATTCTTTGATATTAGGGCGATATCTTTTAGACTTTCATATATTCCTTCAATCGAATCTCCTTTTATTCTTGCAATAAAACAACTAGCAAGTAGATTGTTTTCCATGCAAGAGTTTACACGTGTAGGCGTGGCCATGCTTATCTTGTTAGAGACCATCATACGATAACATTCTTTTAACTTTACAAAATCATCAGAGTATATTTGCAAAGCGATCCGTAATAACTCGTATTGTATACAGTCAATCTCCCTGTTTCCTATTTTCTTGAAAAACTTTTTCCAGTTTTATACATATTCCATATACCCATGATCGTATTCTCTGGTAAAATCGATAACGGAATCAAAAAATTCTTTATTTTCAATGACAATATCACGATATCTTTTATCAATGAGTGGAATATGTTCCTTAATTTCATTAGTAACTTCGTGA